GGCGCAGTTGCTCTGCCCCGGGCTTCCTGGAATCAGTGGCTGATAAGTTTCAGCAGCAGCTGACTTGGTGTTCTTAAGTTCAATCTGTATGTAAGAGTCAGCCGCTGGTCAGTTTCAGCAGCGGCTGAATCTGGATGCCAGTTCCGACTTACATACAGATTCAACTTAAGAACAAACCTACAGTCCCTATCTTGTACGTAACCCGGGGACTGCCTGTAATGCAAGTCTGACACAGTCTTTGTTTGACCCCTCAGTCATTTGTTTGCCACAAGTGCGAGGTACTGGTTTCTAACACGCAATTTGTGGGTTAACCTCTGGTGCTTCTGGAGAGAAGTGCCATAGAGCAAGCTAGTCGTGATAGCTGGGACTTGCCATGAGAGGCCAGACTAGTCCTGGTCTGTTGCCAGACATATTGAATTCTTGCTACCTTGTCTTCAGTTTCTTCCTTTAAATTGATCTAGTGCTGTAGGGCAGCTGTCACCTCCATGGTTATGGAGAGCAAAATGTGCTAAAAGTGGAATTCATTTTGAACGAGTATAAACAATTAGATCATATTTAATAAACTAATCCCAGACTCTTGCCTAAGAGGGGCAGTGACCCCCATACAGGAGTTTGAAAGGCTAAGGCATTTGGCAATAAAACAGATGTAGTTAACACCTAGAGACAAGCTGTGACGGCGCGTTGGGGGTTCCCCGTCTCCTGCACCCCGAAATGGCATGAACAGACTTCACCAGCCAGTAGAATGGAGGTTGTTTATTGTTCCTCCAGCACAGCGCAGCACAGATGTAATCTGGTTTCAGGAACTGGGGCTAAGAGGCCTCAGTGCCCCCTTGAGATAGGGGAGTCCCAGCCCCCTCCCCAGCTCCTTCTTCCCTGCCTTCCAGCCAGGAACTAACTCCCCCTCCTCCAGCCCTGCCCACAGCCAGGGCAGCATCCACCTCCCTTTGTTTCTCCCCATGGGGGGCCGCAGGTCAGACATGTTTTTGAGTCACCTTTGCATAATGAGGTTTTCCCTGCTGGGTCTTGCTCCAGACAGCAGGGGTCACCACAGCCCAGCAAGTACCCCCACTACGTCACACAAGCCCCAACTCTTCATGGTGTACCATCACATCACAATTGTCCTAGAGGTTATCTTATTAATAATAGCCTTCTGAATTGGGAAGTGAATGAGCAGCTGACTAGTCTCCTCTTGAGACAGGCAGCCATGAATCCAGCTTATATTGAGGACGCCACTGTATTTGTAGAGCGACATTGCACAGCTAAGCCATACATTAATGAGTTGAATGCATCGCTGTGCTAAGAGCTCACCTCACCAGGTGTTAACGTCTTTGTCTTGTAAACAAAGATCGTGAGATTCAGAAAATGGATTAATTGGTTCTTTTCCTTTTAATAACTCGGTTAATGATCGTGTAGAAATTCTGGCTTCAGCAATCATTTGATTAAAATGTGGGATGATGGATGACAAGGTAAGGCTGGAATAAGTGGTGTTCATGGGCTTTTTCTGCATAGCATTAGAGATGGCTGAAGAATGAAGCTGAGGTGTAATGGAGGTAACCGTACGTGAGAAGAATAAAACAGAAACGGAGGCAATTGGAAGAAAAACAGTCCGTTGTTCTGAGGTTCAAGATTTCCCAGCCTTCCTATACAAACTAATGCATTCTCTCTCTTTTGATTTAGCTGCTTTGGAACTACAAGTTGAACCTCACTACAGATCTGAAGTTTGAATCCGTGGCCAGAGAGGTCTGTAAGTCCACCATAACAGAGGTGAGAGTGAGAGAGGGTATGGCTATATCTGTTTTATCTGTGGGTGGTTCTTAGCCCTGTGCTTGAGATCCATCTGAAGAACTCTTGGCGAGTGATAACTAGCGCTGTTTAAGCATGGCTTAGAGCCTAGTGTAGACAGACAGTGGCTGTACAAATGCATTAGCTGTGAACCAGTCTAGACAAGCCCTCTGAGACTGAACTGACAATAGACCCGTTTCTGCCTTCCTCACTGGAGGGGGAGGGGCAGACTGGTTCCCAGGGCTGAATTTGAGTATATTTCATTTGGTATTTGCACCTCTGTCTAAGGAGACTGGTCGTGAGGGCTTGGCTCGGAGGAATGATTGCACCGGAATAAAGAGAAATGATAAGCTAAGAATCCTGCAGTTCCTGCCTGACCAGTCACAGATCCAGTCCCTGGGGAGTGACCCTTGAGTGTGCTGCACCCCAAGGACCCCCACGGTCCACAGGGCAGGCCCAGCACTTCCAAGGCTCTCACACTGGGCCTGTGGCAGTGTTTCTCTCTCCACAGCTCTTTGCAGTAAATCCAGTCAAAACCACCTTCTGAGGGAGGCTTGTACCGTGCCCATTCAGGGTGCAGTGTTCTCAGTATTTGCAGTGACAGCAGCAGCGTTTTCAAAGCAAGGAAACAGTTTGTCGTGGGGCATACAGAATCCCAAAGTCCATAAGTTAGCTCAGAGATTTAGGGCCAGACCAGTGTAAGCAGCTAGCCAAGCTGTTATGGACTCCATTTGTTTGTCTGCTTTTCAGCCCGTAGGGGGGCTTCTGACCCCCCACTTCCCCAAAGGATAGCTGTCTCAGCCACCTGACGCCTTGCTCTGTTTTTCTCTACCCGGGGCCCTTGCTCTGCTTTCCTGGCCAAAAGTGGGGGAAATCTCCTTCCTCTAGGTCACTAGCTAGAATTGTCATGTCCATTGGGGGGGTTCCCATTATGGAGCAAGAATACAGCCACTGACAGGGTTGCCCTCTGAGTTCGATTTAGCGGGTCTAGTTAAGACCTGCTAAACTAGACCTGCTAAATCAAACTCCAGAAGTTTGATGCGGCTTAGGGAAGACATGGCCTGACTTATCCATTGAGATTAATGGGTTCTCATCAGTTTTTTAATGACCCATTCATTCCACACTAGACAGCTACATGAGAAATATCTCAGGCCTCTTAATCTGCCCCTAAAAGCTGATTTGACTCTTTGTACCCCGGTAACAATAGAAAGTACACTGGGAAAGTGACATGCATCTGACAAAGTGGGTCTTTGCCCACGAAAGCTTATGCTTCAACACTTCGGTTAGTCTATAAGGTGCCACAGGACTCCTCACCGCTTTTGCAGATTCAGACTAACACGGCTACCCCTCTGATACTCAACAACAATGTTAAAGATTCCCCCGTCACCTTCCACCAGGTACTTTGTGCGGATTGGATTCTTCCATTCTTCACTGTGTACGAATAGCCACTCCCTACTTAAGATTGCAGCTGAGTTTCCATAACAAACCTTGTTTTCCCCAGTAAAATCCACGTGTCCTTTTGGTTAGATCCGGGACAAGGTAGAATTTTTCTTTTCAATTTGAAGTGGTTCAGACAGTGGGTTCCTGACTGGAACTTTCCATGCTGAGCTTGCCCTCGGAGTCCTCTAGTTTGTGTTGCACTGCAAGACACTGTGCTGTGTTTGGAACCTTGTAGCGCCGAAATGGAAGAAACCCCACAAATCTCTTTACCAGCTGACATGCTGTAGTCAGTCAAGTGAAATACTATCTATTCTCAGCTGTTTGGTTTCTGTAATGGAGCTGCTGCAGAATTTTTGCAATCCAGGCATGTCTGAGAATACTCCCTTATCGCAGCACAGTTAATTTCCATTTTTATATGATGACTGTTTACATGGTTGTAAACATTGCACTATAAATCTTAGATAAAAGCTCCTACATGTAGTGGGGATAGACACCGCATTTTAATTGTATATTAACTGCCATGGTCTTCCTTTTCTGTAATGTTGTGACGAGTAATGATGCAAACAGGAAGTATGTGGTTTTATAAAATCTCAGTTTCATTCTGAAAGCAATCATGCCTGCTACACCTCTTGTTGATATTGTCTGGCAAGGTAGACGCATGAAACATTCCTGGCTTTGCATTGGATAAGGTAGATTATCAACCTGACATTTTTCAAACTAATAGTTTTTAAAAAGCTTCTCCTAGACCACCCTTTTAAGGGGGTTAAGAATTCAGAAGTTCTTCCAGGCCTTCCTATTGGAGGAATATGACCAGGTTTTTGGTTTTGTACATTATGTACCAATGTGAATTGTCCTGTTTGGATCTAGAGTACATTTTGATTTTTTTTTTTCAAAAGCCTCTGAGGAAATTGGGCAGCCAGTGTCCTTGGGAATCACTAGAGGCTAGGTACCTCCCTTGAGAATTGTCTGCATTTTTGTCTTGTCTATCCTGACTGTACCCAATAGGTTTCAGTCATTTTTTCTAGGGGTTACATAATTGAAAGGCTGACATTGTAATATAGTTTGAATGTTGGGTTATTTGATAAAACCGTTGTCTTTACAAATGAGGCTTATAAATGGCTACATGCTATCGCTAGCTGGCATATACAGGCAGTCCCCGGGTTACGTACAAGATAGGGACTGTAGGTTTGTTCTTTAAGTTGAATTTGTATGTAAGTCGGAATTGGTACATATTGTAGGGGAAACTCTAGCCAAACATTTCTCCAGAGCTCAGTTTTATTCTCCCACACCTCACTTCCCTCAGTCCTTTATTCTCAAGCTGAGGTGTCTGCTGAGAAAAGCCGCTCCGCGTCTCCCTGGTCTGCTGGAGGGGCGGGGGGGGCTAGCTTCGCGTCTCCCTGGTCTGCTGGGGGGAAGCAGCTAGTGTGGGGTTGCCTCACGCTGTTTGTAAGTAGGGATCTGATGTAAGTCGGATCCATGTAACCCGGGGACTGCCTGTAGAAAGTAATTGGTAAGATTATCAGGCTAGAAGGAATCATTCTGAGTATCTAGACTGATGCCCTGCATAACAGCCTGGAAAATGTCCCTGAATTCCTGTTTGGCTTGGAGCATGTTTTATCTAGCTTCAGCCAGCAGCCACTTGTTGCTGTCTCTGTGTCTGTCTGTCTGTCTGATTGAAGAGCTCTAGTACATTTGTTCCCCTTTGTGGGCAGTTATAGAATGTGATCACCCCTTCACCTGCTCTTTGATAAACCACATAGATGGACCTCCCAGAGTCCGCCTGTACGATCTGTTTTCCAGTCCTTTAATCATTCCATGGCAGTTCTCTGAACTCTCTCCAATTTATGAGCATTCTCCTTGAATTGTGAGCACTGGAACAGAACACAGTATTCCAGTAGCAGACGCACCAGTAACACATGCAGAGGTAACAGAACCTCTCCTCCTACGCAGTAGTCCCCAGTTGGTGTGTCCAGCGATCGGATTATCCTGTGCAGTCATTGTATTATACTAGGAGCTAATGTTCAGCTGATTTATTCACCGTGACTCCCCCAATACTGTTTCAGAGTCAGCTTCCCAGGATAGCGACCCTCATCCTGTAACTCTGGCCTGTATTCTTTGCTCCTGGAGGCAGGACTGCAGCTTTGGCTGTGGTGACCTGGGCATAAGCAATCCAGATGGCTGTCCTGTCCCCTTCATTACTCACCATTCTGACCCAGTCTGTGTCCTCTGTAAATGTGATCAATAATGATGCTGTTTACTACAAGACGAATCTGTAGAGTGCTAGAGTGGAACGCGCTAGCCTGACCTAGTGCCCCAGGCTGGGTGTCTCGCTACTGCTTGGCCCAGATTGGTGTGTAAAGGTGGCTTGCATCATGGCATATCTGCACCTGATGCTTTAAAAATGTCTGACTTTAGGAGCTGCTCCTACTAACTCCTGGAACACAACTCTTTCTCTGAACAGATCAAAGAGTGTGCGGATGAGTTGGCTGGGAAAGGCTATTTGGTGTCCTGTTTGGTGGACCATAGAGGCAACATCACTGAATACCAGTGTCACCAGTACATCACCAAAATGACAGCCATCATCTTCAGTGACTACCGGCTGATCTGTGGCTTCATGGATGATTGCAAGAATGACATTAACGCGCTCAAATGTGGCAGCATTCGACCTGGAGAAAAGGTATCCACAGGACAGGTGGGTGGGAAGAGGGTGAGACTCGGGGAAATTGGATGCTATTGTGGAATGAACACCTACACCAGACTTCATTGCAGAGACTGAAAACCAGTGTTGTGTTCCGGCTGGCAGCGATAGCCTCTGCCCAAGTTGTTTCGATTAGTGCTAGTGCTTGAAGCTCTTTACTGAGGTGCTGGGAAACATGCTGTCGTCCTCGCTCCCACCCAGCAGTGATTTGTCCCCATGCCCGCCAGGCCCTCAGTACGATTTAAAATAGTGCACACTATGTCCTTGGTCAGGTGTGAGAATTTTGTTTTACATGGTCAATCCTACCGTCAGAATTAACTAGACCCATCTCAAGACACATTTCTCTGTGCCTTGTGTGCTGTCAGATGCCTGAACTTTCTAGGCCTGCCTACCCATCCCTTCTTTCTCCAGGAATCTGATACAAGAAAAAGCAGAACTGTGTAGATATCTTCAGACCCTCGTTAGTGTCTTCGTTTTAATTTGGAGCATGCCATTGGCTGCAAGAAACAGAGCATTTGGTTGAAGGGTTCTTTGGAACTTCAGGTGTTTGTTCCATGATATTCACTAGCAGTGTACTGTGTTTTTGAATTAAAACCTCACCCTCCATTGGTTAATTTTAGGGCACTTAAAATCAACTGCAGCCCTGTTAATGCCCCCTTCATTCTGTTTTGCTAGAAGAGCTGTGCACTATTGGCTGTTCAGTCCTGATCGTATCTTCCAGCTCTTGCAGAAACTTGTCTGATTGCCCAGCATCACATTTCACTGGACGTGTGGGCGCTTTAGCCAAGTCAGACAAGCTGTATCCGTTTCAGCTCTGATTGATTGATCGGTAACGAGCCGTTTCAAGATGCCAGTGAAGTTTGCGGTAGGGTAATTGGCGGAAGTAGAAAAGGTTTCTAGGCACTGCTTTCCCTTTCCTATTTCGGTAATCAGCATTATGGGACTGTTTCCATGGACCCTTACTGCATGGGTAAATTGACACGAGAGAGTGCAATTTGACTCAACTTCGTACTGGGCTTTGGCGTGCAAAGAAATAGGTGGCTCGAGGCTGGATTGACCCCCTGGTGAAATAGTGCAAAGGTGCTGCCCTGGACAATAGAGCAGTTGATTGGTGGAGGAACAGGAGTGGTGCTTTGCTGCTCTCTGTTGCATTGCAATTTAAGACCCCACACAGGAAGCGCGGGTGGGAAGGTTGTGTAACTGAATAGCAGGACATGCAGGTAGATGCTGCGTAGGTCAGCTTGTTCTGTGACTGCTCATCTGGAGAAGTGGGTGAACTGGTCACTCTTTGAACCTTGATTTCTCTGTAAAGCGAAACACCCATTTTTGTCTCAACTGGCAGGAGGTTGGGACAGACTGAAATCCCAAGTATGGGTCCCCCCCCACAAGCACTGGGCACATACTTGTGATTTGACTAAAGTCACGTTTACAGAACGGAGAGGGAACCGTGCTGAAATAGCTGCTCCCTAGGGCACATGTCGCACTTGATAAAAAATGAGGTAGTCACCCAGGATTTCGCAGCGAGCTGGCTAGTGTCTAGTCCTGCTCAAGTGGCTGATCAATCGCCTGCTGCTACCAGGGAATCTGTCAAGTGGCAGAAGTGTCCTGACCCTGCTGATAAACCCTGCCAAGGTCAGTCTGATTCTACGTGATGGAATTTGTTTTTACTTGGCCTTTTCTGCAGCTCTTGCGCCTCACTTGTGGCTGTGCATTAGGACAGACTTCAGTAACAGGATTACATACTGTGTTTTTCCACAGGACATCTGCTTTCATTCGCTGCACAAGATAAACAGAGCTCTGGGAACGAATGAGGGTTGGGTCGTGATTAAGACTACAGGATTCCAGCTTTTTGTAGCAGAAGCTGAACGATCCCATGAATGAGATGGGGTTGCAGGCAGGGGAAACAGGATCTTGTGCTTAAAGCAGTCAAAAGCCACCCCGGAGAACTGGATTCTAATTCTGCCTCTCCTCCAGAGCCCTTGGTGTCATGTTGGCCAAGGCAAGTCACTACCAAACTGTCACAGGTTTTCAGTCATGACACTTGCAGCAACAAACAGCTGCTACACTCCTGTGGAAAGTACGCTAGGCAGTTACAGGAGGAATAGCCTCTTTTCCTGCTCGGCTTTAGGGATGTAAGATCCCGTTGAATCAGTCAACCAATTAAACATGTTTAACCAGTTAACTGCTTAATCGGGTCTGCTGTGGCCTGGCCCTGCCCACCCCTCTCTATCTGTGGCACGGTGGGCTGCTCCGACCAGGCCTGGCCTGCTGCAGATGGGGGGGCTGCTCCAGGCCAAGCCATCCATGAACCGTAACTGTAAGTACCACTAAGCAAGGGTGCTGCTTCCCGGTGAGCCATTCACATCCCTACTCTGTCTCCTGTCCCTCTGCAGATTCTTCTTCAGGCTTCTCTGAGTGGCCTGACCCTGTCTCAGTGAATTGATGTCACTGGGTTTAATGCACAGGCACTGCACAGCTGAGGTGAGACAGGCCAGCTGGCTAGCCCTCTCTTAGGGAGGCGAATGCCATCAGACCACCACCCACCTTCATGTCAGGTGACTGTCAAAACCAATATGTGCTCATTCAGAACGGTGAGATCATGGGGATAAGCTTGGCTTCCTGTTGCCGCTTGAATTGCGTTGGAGCAGAGCTCTCACGAAGGCCTGTCTCCCTGTAGCATCGTAGGGTGGGCCAGGGCGCGCACTAACTTTCTGCTTCCCTGACTGGGCTGCACTGATGCTTTTACCTAAGGCTGAATTAACTGTAGGAGACGACAAATCTCCAGGCGCTTCTCTGTCCCATCCTTGCACTGCCATCATGGAGAGGGGCTTTGTACTAACAGTAACTGTGCAGAGTGGTGCCTGCATGGGAATGCCAGCCGCCACAGCACACTTAGTCGCTAGCCGGGAGGCGGTAAGTGACATTGACAGACGTACTGGCTCCGCTTCTCGCAGCCTCCCAGCTCCCTAGCAAGTCTGCCTGGCTGTTGGTAGCGCTTCTCTCAGCTAGCCCCAGGACCCATTAGGCTTTGGGTGGGGGTTGGGAGGGGAGGCATTGGGAGCCTGAGGCACTGGGAGGGCCAGAAGGCAGCAGGGCCCAGAGGAAATGGGGGGTGGATGTAGAGCTGGAGGAGGCGGCAGGAACCAGAGGTAATGGAGGTGGGTAATTAGCCCTGCTGCTGTGTGGCTGAGGCCCAGTGGTTGGAGGGTCGGCCTGCCCAGCAGGAGCCTCGGACCAGAACCATGGGCCAGGGCCTGCAGCTCTGTGGTTGGAACAAGGGCTGGAGCCAGGCAGTCAGCACCGGCCACCCCCAGACAGCCCAGGGCTGGTGGCATGGCCAGGCTCCCAGAGCTCTGCTGCTGGAGCCCAGCACTCCAAACCCAAGTGCCCCAAGGAGGTGCCCCTTGCCTCAGTATCCCTGTGCCCAGAGAGGGCGCAGGCAGGAACAGAGGGCGAGGAGGGGCTGGTGGTGCCCTTCGTAGAGCGCTGCCCAGGAAGCCGTCGTGGCCTCCTGAAAAGCCCCTGGGGGTCGCGGGGTGGCTGCATTGGGAAGTTGGTGTAGCCCTTTCGGGTGGCGGCGGGTGGGCGGGCAGAAGGGATTTCAGCCTCTCGCCCGTTCACCTCGCTGAGCCTCAGTAGCTAGATCAGCAGCCGCATTCCTGAGCGCTGAGGGCTGGTCAGCGTGACTGCAGCTCTCTGGGATACGAACCTGTCACGCCCTGAGCCGCGCAGTGTAGACCAGGCCTATGCCTCTTCCAGCCCTCGTGGCCTTTTTCTGTAAGGGGTTTCCTCCCTTCCCTTCTGCCAGTTCTATAGTCCGCTTTCTTCCATTGCTTCTGGCTTGTTGCTTGCCTTGCTCTCTGCTGACTCGTACCTCCTGCTGCTGCGTGGCGTGTGAGCCGCAGAGCGCCATCGGTAGGTCTCCTCATTTCAGACTTCGTCCGAAGGGACCCTACGTGCCCATGTGTAATACCAGTGGCATTCCCGGCCCACTTTCTGCTGTCAGCCTGTTCCCGTCTCCTTCCTGCACACCTGGATGCCGTGCTGTGTAGTCTTTGGTTCCCTGGGGCTAGACAACATCCCTTGAATTTTGGTTTCCAGCACTGGACAGTGGGACTTGCAGTAGAACCACCGGGAAAAGGTTGGTTTTCTGTAGGTTATTTTGGGTTCACTTGGCTCCTCTGTCTGGCTGCTTGCGCTGGCTGTTGATACTTGCACAGCACTCGGCTTGGACAGCAAAGATTACAGGCGAGTGTTACTTTCTGGCTTTCCTATGCAACCACAGTGCATGTCAGTGTTTCTGCCCCAGCTAGCTAGAGGGGGCTACCGGATAGCAGTGGGAAGCACCTCATCCCAGTTACCTCCGAATATTTGCTGCCCTAGCCGGGAGATGCAGTTTCCCTTCCTTACTTCATTTTTCTCCCAGTCTCTGCTCCTTCCTTCACTCCTAGCTCACCTCAGTGCTTCTGCAATTAGACCAATAGGAATTTTATGCAGAAGTTAAATTTTATTCTTTAGTGCAAGCTAGTGTCCACACAGGTCCTTGGGGTTTGAAAATGGCAGGGAGAAGGACACAGCAGCAG